CCTTATCAATGAAGATACAGTTGGTTCAATCATGGTTTACTACTTACTCTTCTATATGCTTCTTGTAGGTATAAGTAGTCTCTGCGATACAAAAGCAGCTTTCAATCAACTAGTCATGTTGGGAATTGTATCTAGTAAATCCTAGTCTTAGTCTAACGGGTGTTGTTCTTTGATTAGTAGCTCTTTGATCATCATGTAACATGTCATTTGCTAATGCCATCTTGTAGAACTCTTTTTTTCTCTTTTTTTGTTTGGTCAAATGGCATCATTGAAATAGCAAGGATTTGTATGATAAAAGATGAAAAAAAACATAAGATAATAATCCCACTTATAGATTGTTCATACAAAAGAGAGGGTTCTAAATTGAGCTTGTTTTACTTGCCACATCAAAAAGATCAAATTAACTATAGTAGTAAACCCTATGATATTTTCGTCTGCAAAGTCAATGACGCGAGGAGAAACGGAATTAAGTATTTTACTTTTACAAGTATAAAGATCCCAATATAATTTTTGGAAGTATAAGGGATTAGAATGCTAACGATAACTAATTATAGGGGACAATATGTAATTAGCCCTCTAATTCCATTCTATCCTCCCATAATTCAAAAATTAAGTAGGTAATTAATTAGTTAATTATATGGATTAATTCTGTTATTGCAGAGAGGCTTAACTATCCCCGAACGCGGTTTGGAATGGTTTTGGAAGAGGAGAGTAGCGACTCTGGTTGACATTGTTATGCCCTCCTCCCCTCGCTTCCTTCTGCCGCGTCACATTGTGCTTCCGTCATTCAATGGGGGTCATGCATTGGGATCTCAAGCCTGAAATTTTTCTTTTTGTCAACCAAATGAAGGATGCTCCTCTTAAGACTATTGACTTTGGATTGTCAATTTTCTTCTGACCAGGTACTCTTCTTCTTTGAGACTTGGTGCTGTTAAATTTAGATAGGAAGAACAAGGTGCATCCATTTTCGTGTATATTCTTGCTCTTGAAGCATCTGGTAGTTTGTTTGGCGACTCACTCGAGAGAACATTTTAATCCAAAGAGCACTAACTCCAGAGAACAAGTATTGTGTTGCATATGCTCTGAAAGCAACTTTCAGCATCATAACTGAACTCTTTCATTTTGTAGGAAACATTTCTATGATGGTGATCCAATAGAATTGCTGCAACTTCATCATTCTATCTCATGGCGGATAGTTCCACTGATTGATTGCTGGAGCCTTTATATCAGCTTGATGCACACAGTTTTACAGTATCTTTGTATGTCTACACAGTTGGTTCTCTTGGATTGTGTGAAATGCTTACATATGGCATGTCTCGGAGAAAGTATGATATAGATTCATTTAAGAAAATCACATTCTTGGTCTGCTATAGTTTCATAGCTGCATCAGTTGTGTACTAATTTTTTAAAAATGAATTTTTTTCTGGTTTATTAGTCAGCACATTCTCTTTATCAGGAGAAATATTCACTGATGTGGTTGGTAGTCCTTACTCCTTACTATGTCACACCAGAAGTCCTGAAAAAATGATATGGTCCAGAGGCAGATGTCTGGAGTGCTGGAATGATCATTTATATTCTTCTAAGTGGCGTCCCTTCATTTTGGGCTGTTGAGAAATTTGTCCTTCGCTTGTATCTGCTTAGAGTTTGCTTAGACAGTTCATTGATATGCATCACCAGATTTATTTTTATGTTTGTACATATAAACTGATTTAGTGCTTCATAGGTTACTATTTATCTATGATCTTCTCAACTAACATGTGCTGCAATTTACATCACACCCAGAAACCGAGCAAGGTATATTTGAAGAGGTTTTACACGGCAAACTTGACTTTCAGTCAGATCCATGGCCCAGCATCTCGGATAGTGCCAAAGATCTTGTAAGAAAAATACTTGTTAGGGAGCCCAAGAAGCGGTTGACTTCTCCTGATGTTTTGTGTAAGTTATACTTTAATCTAGATGTCTTCGCTGTTGTAAGAAACTACTTGAAATCATGACTTTTATCAGTGTGATTGATTTTTTATTGCATAATCATACTTCAAGATAACATTGGATCATGAGAACACATTCATAAGACAAAATTTTAGATGTAATTAGATAGTCAAATTATCTCGACATCACTATCCCATTACATGCAGAAGTTAGAAGCTCTCTTGGATTTGTCAGGTAATTTGCCTATCATGAATGTCATGGCTTCTGAGGGAATTATGATGGTAGAGTTCTATGGTGAACTGAGCTTTCTCAAGTTACTGTTGGCTTCCTCCCAGGTCATCCTTGGGTTCAGATTGATGGAGTGGCTCCTGACAAGCCTCTGGATTCTGCAGTTCTATATCGCCCGAAACAATTTCTGCAATGAACAAACTCAAAAATATGGCTATCAGAGTAAGTTTCAGAAGTCGAATAATTTTGGAAATAAGGTGGGTTATGCTACTACTTTGGATGCTATGCCATGAATGATTCTGGAAAGTTCAACCAAACAAAGCTGTGAACTAGATTTTTTTCTTTTTTTTATCAGTGTTGGCTGTGACTGTTACACTCATGTTTACAATCATTGCAAAGAAAGTTGATGTTGCAATATTGTTTTCTTACTCATTTTTTTCATCTATTCAAGTTTATTTTTATTGCCTATAATTTTCAAAGACTAATAATTTGGGGTTAACCCACAAGTTAGCTCTGTGGTAATCATGCTCTTATGGAAATTTGACAACCCATATTGGTGATCTTGAGATCTGCAACCTTCTCTTATAGGAGACAATGACCACTCATAACTCATGCGGGCTTATTTGTTCAGGGGTTTTATAGTTAGAAGGAATCCAGATTGTAGAACCTTTAATGCAATTTCCTCTTTAATTTTATTTTTGTGTAGTTACTATACCATTGACCCTTGTAGCATGTCTTTTCATTTTCCTTTTTTGTTGTGGGTCTACTCATTTTCTTGTTTTCTGCCTTCAATTTGTAGATATTTCTGGTTTTTTGTTTCTTGACATGGATGTTTTATGGTATACACAGTATTGTATACCTTGTAACCTCCTATTCCTTTTATTTTCTCCAAATATTATTTTATAGGTTATTGCTGAACACCTTTCTGAGGATGAAATTGCTGACCTTAAGGAGATGTTTAAGATGATAGATGCAGACAACAGTGGGCAGATAACATTTGAAGAACTCAAGGTTGGATTGGATAGGGTTGGTGCTACTCTCAAGGAGTCAGAAATTTTATGCACTTATGCAGGCAGTAGGTATTCAAACATCTGAGAGCTGGATAATGTGTATCTAACAATTGAAATGTCTTATAGTAGTATGCCCCCATAAAAAAATTTAATATCATCTTTGAATAATACAACCACCTTTCTGTTATATGATGTTTAAAAATTCATCCACCAAACTATAAAACATTGGTTAGACGGTCACTTCCTTTTCTCAAGAAAAATAATAGTTTCTCTTGCAAATTTTGGTGAAAGAATCCATTATCTTAATGTGTTTTTTATCTCTTTTCTTGTTCCTCTCTTTGCTGCAAAATGGGAAAATTTTAGGCAGATGTTGATAACAGCAGGACCATTGATTATGGCGAGTTTATTGCTGCCACTTTACATCTGAACAAGATAAAGAGGGAGGATCATTTATTTGCAGCCTTCTCTTACCTTGACAAAGATGGGAGTGGTTACATAACTCAAGATGAACTGCAACAGGCTTGCGAAGAGTTTGGTGTCAAAGATGTGAAGCTGGAGGATATGATCAGAGAAGTAGATCAAGATAACGAAGTATTTATATTTTTTACATCATACTTCCAAAGCTATATTAGGAGATGCAATCTGCTCATCTTTTCAATCTTTTTTATTTTTTGGCAGGATGGACGCATAGATTAGAATGATTTTATCGCTATGATGCATAAAGGAAACACTGGATTCAGCAAGAAATGAATGCAAACTAATTTCAGTATTGGTTTTAGGGAGGTTTTGAAGCTCGGTTAACGAGGTTAGTTCCGAGGTTCATATTCTTATTTTTTTTGTAATTATTACTTGTAGAGTTGTCTTAGGACCTGATAATTGGGAACTGAGTCTCTATGTTGTATTCTATTCATAAGCCTGCAGTAGTTTTGAAACCCATTACAAGTTTTAGAGAACTTTGATGCCCTTAAAATTGCAAAAATATGAACAAATTCACCTGATGTACAGATTTGTTTTTGAGATTTGATTCAATAACTACATGTTGAAGCATGGTTGTTTTTTGTGCTGAACAGAATTTGTTCTTATCATATGTTTCTCAGGATAATTCCTTGTTTGCTTTTGTTGATTGTCTCATCTTTGTTATCATGGAGTTTAAATCAAACTGACTGATAAAATTTAAGCTTCTTAGGTTGTGGATCAAATCTGATATATATCGTTATTTCAATTCTTACAAAACTTGTACAAATATATGTTGTAACATAATTTTTAATTGAAAAAAACATTTATCTTTTATTGGTTCCGCATAATCCAAGTCAAAAAGACATATGGATCAAATATCCACAAACATATATTAATCAAAACCATTACATCTCATGTGAGATTAATTGGAGGACTGCTGGTTTGACTTCACCTCACCTACATAGAAAACAATTAAACTGCTGTCTGCAGAAGTGATCCAATTAGAGACATTCATCATAGAGTACAGCAAGACAACAGCCATGCTCAAAAGAGCCAAATTTATAGTCCATGATGTGCCTATGTTAATAATAGCTATGATCAAAACCAATAGATACATAATACAGTCAACTCCTCTTCCACAAGTTCTCTTTCTTTGCTAACCTTCCATTTAGGTTTCTATCTCAAAAGCAATCGATCAAAGACAGTAGGAACAAAGATGCATACAAATATATTACAGTGTCATGGAAATAGGATAGAAGCTAATGCTGTAAGTAATGATCCACACAATAACCACTCATCCTTGAACTCTATATATATATATATATATATATATAGAGAGAGAGAGAGAGAGAGAGAGAGAGAGAGAAGAAGAGAGCAAGCACAGAAAAGTCTTCGAAGACATTATTGCAACTTGACTTTGTATCCAAACAAATTATGGATGATACTGACAACAACAACATCATACAGCAAAAGAAAAGAAAATGTTTCCTATACATGTTCTTACACTAGTATCAACATTACAACAACTCAATTCATCCCCTCCCCTCCCCTCCTACCATCATCATCATTATTCTTACCCAGAGAAAAAGGAGGGCAGGTGGTAACATTTGGTTTCTTATCTTGTCTTTGTCTCATTTCCCTTTCTCTCTCTCAGTCTCTCTATTGGCAGGTGGCAAAGCGATTGCGTTGACCCAACACCCCAAGCAAACTGCACCCAACTTCTAACAATTTCCCTGCATCCAATCAGCACAGAATCATGTCAATGGTAATATAGCACACCAAGGTATATGAATAATCAATTGTTCCTACCAACACAGGCAGGCCATGTTGTCATTTTCTTTAGAGACGTTAAGAGGTCAACTTCAAACACAAATTTGATCCCAAAAGAATAAAGAGAAAACATTTTATGGTCACAAATCCACCCATTCGCATTAAAATAAATATAGCATGCATATATGTATTAACATCAATCAATAAAGAAGAAGAGAAGATATGTAAGAAACATGAAGTTGTCCACCATCACGGGGGCGTGAAGTCCACCGACAGTGCCCAACTCTAATTACCACATTATATATATTTATATATATGAAGAATAATTAAGCTTCTAATCAACAGTAATAGTAATAATAACAGTAATGAGACAAGAAAAAGTTGATGTTTTGGAGAACAAAAAGAATAAAAGAGGAATAATTGTTACCTCTCCTGAGCTTGGCTTTGAGCTTGGCCTTCCCCTTGACCTGGGCGATCTCGGCCTTGCGGGCGGCGGGAGAGAGGGGTGAGGCCGGCGGCACCTCCTCGTCTGGCGGGAAGAGCACGGCGTCTATACCCTGGACGGAGATGCGGCCATCGGTGTAGATGTCGGGGTCGAATAGGTAGGCGGAGCCCTCGGCGGCGCCGAACTTGACGGAGCCGTCAGCCTCACGCGCCATCACCTTGTGTGGCACCCGCAGCGTGTCATAGCGCACCTTCCCGAACCGCCGCACCGCGTTGTACATGCTCTCCTCCGTCTGGTATTCCGGTATCAGGTGGTAGTACATGATGGCCTCCGGCGCCCCCGGCTCGCTCAGCTGGTCCGCCGTCAGTCGCGCCATGGCGTCGTCGTTAGGCGCCAGGACGGTCAGCACGTAGCCCTCGGACACTAGCCGCCCCATTTCCGTTGCCATGGACGTCAGGTTCACCAGTATGTCCGCAAACTCGTTGTAGCCGCCGTAGAGGAGCAGGGTCTGGATGAAGTCCTTCACCTGGCTCTCCCCGTCGAACCAGTGCTTGCCGTGGCCCGGGCCGGGGGCGGGGGCGGGCGCCAGGGACGGGCCGGGAGCCATGGCGTCGTAGATCGGGAGCACGGGAGGGGCGCCGGGCGGAACGGGCGGCGCCGGCTTCTTGAGGCGGTGGGTGCGGGGATCCACCTCCGGCGCGCCGGTGGGGAGCACGGCGGAGATGGCCGCGAGGCTTCGCCGGCGGTTGAAGTCCTCCTGCACGCATCGAGGCACGAGCAGGCGCTCGATGCCGTGGATCACACCGTCCGGGCGCACCACCGCGTCCGGGTACAACACAGCCGCGTGGCCGACCTTCTTCTCACCTCCGGCGGTCGATCCATTGGAGGAGGAGGAGGAGAGGTGGAGGTGGTCGCCGGCGAGTGTAGGGTGGCGAGACTGGGGCCACGCATCAGAAGGGATCCTGTCCGGGACGACGTGGTAGAGAAGGAGCGTCTGGAGTGAGCGCAGGTTGCGGGGCTCGAGGAGGAAGCGCTTGAACTCGGGGTCGAGGTCGCGCTCCAGCGCCTCGTTACGGGGGGCAAAGATGGTGAGGTTGTGGCGGCCAACGGCCGCCTCCAGGGAGGGGAGCAGCAGGGCCTTCTCCACCAGCTCCGCCAGCTCCGTGTAGTGCGAGTCGAGGAGGGCGACGAGCACCGAGTTGGAGTTGATCTGCCCGCCGGACGACGCGGTGGCCAATGTGGCCACAGAGGCGTCGGATTCTGTCAATGCCTTGGAGGATGGCGACGACGACGAGGCAGAGACGACGCCGGAGGCAAGGAGGAGGAGGAGGAGTACCGCAGTAGCGCCGCCGAGGGAGGGACGATCCATGGCGACGCCGGTAAGGGAGGAAACCGCGGCGAGTCTCTTCGTATGGCCTTCCGTCCTCCTTTGCTTCCTGTGTTTGGTGGAGAAACGAGAGAAGAGAGGAGGGGGGGAGGGATGAAGGGGGCTTCTGAGGGAGTGGGGGAGAAGGAGAGCACCGAAGGCAAAGTAGACGCCCTACGACAGGCTGGTGATGGCGGGACCCGCCGGGTTGGGTGACTTCCCGTGATCTTTAACCCAACTGCGGTAACTCTAGCGCTTACGAAAAGTCACTAATACCCTCGCAACGATGGCCCTTTTCCGATACGTACGGTGGACTAAGTGGTAAATTGGTCCCACGCTGCGCAGGTGCAGAAGACGTCCTTTTACAGGAAGATGAGCTGTCGGCGTTGCTTCTGACCTCAACGACGTCGTAACTCCACCGGCTCGCTTCCTTTGTTTGGTTGTTAAGTTATGCGATTTGTGTCATTAGAGTAGTATTCTTTCACTTTAATTACACACATATATAATGTACTAATGACTAATTATCAACATTAATTTGTCTGCGTTGGGTTTAAACATCTAATTCAGATCGCTTATTCTCAACTAATATCTGCTAATTTTTCTTGTTTTAAGTGGGAAGAGCAGCTTACAAATAGTGCCGTAAATAAAAATGCGTATGAACACGAGGGCTGGTGGGACGGCGACGTATGGCCTGCCGAGATGGCTGGTCGCAGTCGGATGCCTACGACAGGGTTGCGTGGGGTCTACCCGCGAAGCACCAGGTGGGCTTCGTGGGTTGGTGAAAGTAGTCGGTCAGCTTTCTTTTCTCCTTCACCCTTAATTCTGAGTCTCATTAAATGCGTCACCAGTCTCTGCTACCCGTTTAGTGATTCGATGTGAAAGAGGGACCCACATGTCGCTGGCATCGTTTCTCCAATAAAGGACAGGTGACCGAGGGGGGTATCTGTTTCTGTGGTTTGTTAGGTAACGACGGAGGCGAAACGGGGGTGTGTCGGTGTCGGTGGCTCTCCGCGCTGAGCTTAGTATTAAATAGGAGGAAGACAAGATATAAAGAGAGGGGAGATATGGCATGTCTTATTACATACACCACTGTTGGGGGTTCCACACCTGCTTGCTACCTTTTGGACGTGGTGGGTTGCAGTCTTGGTCTTGCGAGTAATTATCGATTGGAATTCATGGAATGATGAGTCCTCGGTTTTATGATTGATGAGAATGCGATCGCTCTGGAACACCATCGCACTAAAAACTTGATTCCTTGTAGAAATGCTCATCCAATTTTGTCGTAGAACAACATCTTCACAGTGGAAGCACATTCACGTACGATGTAACATACATAGGCCAGCGAACTATCTATGATGGACCGCATGTTTCCACTAGGATGCTGTGGCCGATGGCCGACGGCCGGCCGGTGGGAGTTATTGTGGTCTTTAAGATTAGTGCTGTGAACCCTGTGTGCTTTTATTGTGATGTGATCTTTGTGGTTCTAATTAGGTGCCCATTTCTCTGTGCCCGATTCATCCTCCTCGGTAACGCACCTGCCTCTCGACAGCGGTGGGACGAAAGGGGCCCCACCTTCCGTACAATCTTTGCAGTAGAAAGAAACGGTGGTCGGTCTTGTCGGTGGCTCCGGCTTCGAATGATGCGGTACGGCCAGCGACGACGTTCTATATATATATATATATATACGTTTATGTACTTATATAAATTAATTATTAGTAAAAACTCTAGTCAAGATTAATATACTTTCAAACATTAAAGTTTTTTTTTTGATAGTTCATATTTTTATATATTTTATTTAACTCACACAAATTAGATTTTCTATTGATGTTAACCAAAAATATACTAAAAATTTTCAAACGAGATAGGATTTATAAAGCATAAGACAACGATCGTTGAAGAAGGGAGTATTATTGAAACGCGTGGCAATAGAGAGTGCGTGATGGGAGAGCATCGAAGGTGATAAAGTGGATAGTATAAGGATCGGACGGGTTGTAAGGAAGAAAAAAAAAGATAATATGAGCATTAATAGGGCTACAAATATATAAAATATCATTTTATTTTTTTAAGGTTCATGAATAGTAAAAAAAAGAGTTCTAAATAGCGAGCTTCTTTTATTTTCTTTTTTTCTCATAAAAATTTTCTTATTTTCTAAAAGATAAAATTACCTATAGCCTTCACCTCACCACTTCGCTTGTTGTCCATCATTATCTTCATGCTCTTGTCCAATACTATAATGACACCCTCATCTATCATTTTTGTTGCACCCTCATCCACTATTATCATCATGCACTTATCTGTCGTCTTCACCCTCATTCTCATTTTGCCCATGGACTTGCCTCAGCCTCGTTTGTCTATCATCATACCATCTTTGAGGAGGGTGTTCTGGGCCATCTCTTCTGTCTCTTTTATTCCATGTCTCTCGTGCTAAACGAGCATCCCCTTATGCTTCCATCCCTCGCCACTACTCAATCAAAGGAGCAGAGCATCTTGGGAAGGAGGCACAAGCAATGTCTGACGTGATAGGCCATGCAAGAGAAGAGGGAAGCAATATCATAATCGTCGCCTTCTCCTTTGTTAAGGTTGTCGATAAGGATGATAGAGCAAAGGTAGGGCATAGTGGTAGATGAGAGAGAGGGTATAATTGGCCAATTATGGTGATGGGACAGAGATAACCACGTGGAGGTGATGGACAATGGGTGACGACAGTGAATGACGATGAGGGATGGAGGCAAACATGATAAGATGGAGGTAACGACCAATGAGATGAACATCATCTTTTAGAAAATATAGATTGCTCAATGGGAATAAAAGAAAAAGGAATAGGGGTTGTAGGGTTTAGGGTTTGCCCATATGGACAAGAGTCTAAGGCAAGTGATTATATGTTATTCCCTTCCCCTCCCTTATCGCCCATATGGACTAAAGGCCAAGGGGAGACTATTGGAGGTGGTTAAAGACTACATCAATGTAGAAATATTTCATGAAATATTTTATCAATTTACAATCAAATATAAAAGCTCATCTCAAATATATCTTTTTTGACCACTCACATCTATACTCATACATCTCGGGTTATTAACTTAGGTATTATCTTAGATTATTAACTTGGGCATTAGAGAGACTAGGCCAAAAAATCTTTTCCAAACCTTAGTCCATTGAGAGCTTGATGTTTCCACTTCGATAACACCTCGAATAATTTCATGTATACAATTTCAGACTATGTCAAATTGACCAAGACATCAATGATTTTTCTCTCATCAAATATAAAAGCTCGTCTCAAATATGTCTTTTTTGACCACTCACATCTGTAGTCATATATCTCAGGTTATTAACTTAGGTATTAGAGGAACTAGGTCAAAAAATCTCTCCCAACGTTAGTCTTCACGCAAGTGACACATGAGATTGACGTTTCCATCTTGATGACACCTCAAATAATTTCATATATACGATTTCATATTATATCAAGCTGATCAAGATATCAATGACTTCTCTCTCGTCAAAAGCAGTTTAGAAAAAAAAATTAAAGTTAAAAAAAAAAGGAATTTGCATTAGGCGATTACGTGTGATATACATCACCACCGATTTCGATCGGCCAACAATTATGCGACGATTTTGCCTCCGGTTCTCGCGGGACCCACGTTGTTCCCAAAACTTCCAATCTTTTCCGCGCTTCTCCCTTCCCCCGCTTTCTCAAAACCTCACCGCCTCTCTCCCTCTCGATCTCTGTTGCTGGTTTCGTCACATCGTCGGCTGGATCTTTACCTCAGGTATTGGCCATGCGATTTCCCTGTTTTCTTTTTCTTGTCATCAATAGTTTAGAGACTCATCATCTGTCTCTTTGATGCCGATCCAATATTTAGGGTTCTTAGGTTTCTTCAAAGTGATTTGATATTAGATGGTACATAAATTTCTTTCTTCGTTATCATGATCTTTTATCGTCAACTCACAGTAACATTACATGATTTGCCATGCTCAAGATTTACTTGAACGTCCTGTTTGCAATGGAACACACTAAAGAGTCTCTGGTTTGCACCGTAGACAACCATAAATTCCAACCTTTTGTAGGATCGAATCACAAGATGAAGCTCGCAATCAAAAACTAGTTGTTCTAAACTACAGAAGCCACCCGAGAATTTGATTGAGCGAGCCCGAGAACCGCATCGATGCCTCACTAGTAAATGTAGGGAATCAATGCCTTGACTTCTTTAGGGAAATCCTGGAATTTGGAGAGGTACCATCTCCTGGTGGCGTAACTCCTACCCATCAAGTAGAACACCGTGCCCGTCGTGAAGGAGACGGCATACACCGTTTGGGAGATGAGCGATACTCCGATGAAACCAATTATCTCGAAAAGATAATGCGGGCAGATCACCAGTCCGAAAAGACCTCCCTTTGGGATTTTGTATCGTTTGTCACCCTTCTCCCTGAGTTTTGATAGGAGGCAGTGGTGGTAGAAGTTGCCTACGATTCCTACCAGGAAAAGGACCACCCCGGCATATTTCAGATCCACCGCTGGTTCCGGCACGCCCTGGGTAAGGTATTGAGCGTAGATCATGCACACCGTGTTCAGAAAGTAACTCAAGGAGATCGGAATAGCTGAGTCGAGCATCATATTGCCGCTGTATTGGTGAATGAACAAAACCTGGAGAAAGAGAAGCAGATAGAACACAATCGATTAATTTTCCATATCGAAGAGACTGGTATTATTAGTGAAGCATGGCATCATAGCTCTTTGTAAGGAAGTGAAAAGATACTAATACGAGATGTAAGATTCAGATATATGAGGCCAAAGCAATCTCAGAAATCTCACTCTTGAATTAAGTTTGACTTGTACCTTGATTTATATCAAGATACCGATTAAAAATTGATAGAGAAATATTCACCCTCGGCTTGATACCGTAGTGGCTTAGCCTAGGCTAAAAGCTTGTCGAATCTTAGAAATCAAGATAAATAATTATTTACTAAGTTCATCGTATCATTGACTTGAGTGTCAAAGAGATCGGGTTAGGAGACTCGTTCGGACTCGATCTTTGTACAATAAGTTATTTCATACTTTACACTTTATCACCAAGTCGCAAAGGAGCGAATTTTACGATCGTTCTTCTTAAGATTTATTTAATTGGATAATCATTGGTCCTTAGGAAAGGACTTGTTTTAACATTCTGTGTCAGATATATGAGGCCAAAGCAATCCAGCTAAATCATCTCAGAAATCTCACTCTAGAATTAAGTTTGACTTATACTTTGATTTTTAGCAGTAGTTAAACAGACTTTTGTAGGTATCAAGATACCGATAAGCAAGTATTGGGCTTGACACTGTAATGAACTAACATATGCTAAACCTGCTATAGAAAGCTCATCGAACCTTAGAAATCAATGTCAATGATTATTCACTAAGTTTATCTTATCATCGCGACTGACTTGAGTGTCAAAGGGATCAGGTCAGGAGACTCATTTGGACTCGATCTTCATGCAGATTGACCTCGGAGCCCAAGAAGTTATTTCATACTTTGCGCTTTATCACCCAAGTCGCAAAGGAGCGAATTTTACGATCGTTCTTCTTAAGATTTATTTAATAGGATAATCGTTGGTCCTTAGGAAAGGACTTGTTTTAACATCCTGTGTCTCATGAGCAAGTTAATTTAGACTTTGACTCGTAAACAAAACAAAATTGTATGATGCAAGTTCAATTGAAGAATAGGTATTACATAAATATTTATAATTAATGTCATCCTAAGATTTAATTGGGTGACAAGGTCAATTACATTTATGGCTTGTGCACCTTCCTATGCCTTTCTTCTTCGTATCCTCAAATTTAATGCACACGAAGATTGACTTTGATTAACACCATTATCTCCTAACGAAGAAAAGAAATAGAAATCTATTCGAAATGATAATACAACATGAGATCCAATCCTCTTATGATGATATGTCGCGCTGATTACTGTGTAGCGATTCAAAGCTTCGATCTTCTAATCTGCCTATGATTTACGTAAGATCTGAAACAATCGATGAGGGACGAGATGGTGCAGACCTCGAAGTCTCTCTTGAAGAAATGGAGCAGCAGGGCTAGGCCGAGCAGCAGGCTCCTCTCGCCGGCCAGCACGCCCAAGGAGGCGGCCGCCGACGCGAGCGCGGGCGTGTAGAGGAGCAGCATCCCCGCGCGGCTGGAGATGCGGGCCCGCCGGGCGTCGTCGGATGGCCGGCCGGTGTTCCAGAACTTGGAGTACTGGAGGTGCCTGCCCCGGACCTCGGAGAGGCCGGTGTAGGCGAGGGAGGCGCAGATGATCGCGGACATGGCCGCGACGAACGCCGACGGTGGCGGCGGGTAGAAGATGCTCAACCAGATCGACATCTTCGAGCGATCGAGCGAGAGGATAAAGATGAGGCTGTCCAAGTACATACGTATACTGAACCACACAGGGGAATAAAATGACGTTAATTTCTGACAATGAATCCGAAGCATTAATCCCTAATAAAAAAATACATCTCTCCCTTTGGACGTATGATCAAATGATACCCGTATGATCATCATCCACTAATAAGGAAAGAAATCAATCGATTATCGACATAAATGAGCGGATCACATATTAAGGGAGAATCCATTAATCTTTTGCTATTAATTGTCCTAAGTATAAAAGATTACCTCTAAACATGAAAAAGGGAAAAGGAAAAAATTCCTTTTCATCGGAGGGGTTTGAGTCGAGAACTCTCTCGATGTCGATCTCTTGTGCAGGAACCTCAGTGAAGCAAAGACTCGATGTCGATCTCTTGTGCAGGAACCTCAGTGAAGCAAAGACGTTCCTCGGTTCGACTTAAGAATCCCGTAACACGATTTCTAGGATGAGCTTGTGCTTTGAGGATGAGACCAAGTCATGTCAACTCTCTAATCAACAACATCATGATTGATTATAATAAAATGATTATGTGAAATCCTATGGGCCTTCATGATCAAAATGGAACAATCTATGAAAGATATGCTAAAAAAACCTTATGAGATAGATATACTAATTAAAGCTTTGATATCTTTGGCAATACATATGAAATATGTATTGAGTACCTAATAAATATTTTAAATATTGATAATCTTATGGTATCTCATAATAACATTCAGTATGTGTAGGATATTAATATGATTTTTAAAATACCTTATGATATTATTCAAAATAATAAGATTATCAATATAATTTTATAAAAAATCAAAATGATTTATATGCTATATACAATAAACTTTTTATTTATTTTTAAAAATTAATCTATATTTATTTGTATGATAATATTTATTTATTTATTATATATTTGAGCTATACAATTTTTTTAAGATTATATTTATTATTTTATTTATTTTTAAAAATTTATTTTTAAATACATATTAAAAATATTAAAAGAAAAAAATTAACTATATAATATTTAATAAAAATTTAAAATATAATTTTACATATAATTTTCATCTATTGCTTATCGAGCACTCAAAGCATTACACATTTACTTAAATCATTTTTCTAAACACATATTAAAAATATAATATATTTTCAAATGTAGCCTAAACGCATCCAAAAAATCAAAGTTTCCGTTGTTGGATCCAAACTAACACCAGCATATATTTGGTCGACGATTATTTGCCTCTACGAGGCTCAACAACACAAATTGCATACAGAAACAAATAAAAGCCTTACCAGTATGGTTTAAACATCTAATCCAAATCACACCCAACTTAATTGTTTAAACGGCCCCACGTTCTTCTGACCACCCATATGGTTGAAGCAGCATCAACAAAAATGACAGTCTAATCTCAATCAATGGATGGCGCATATCTCCATCCGAACCAACCGTAGAACTCCACAAATCAAATACCTATCGCAGTGATAGTCTGTGATTCCCAGTACTCCTTTGCTTGCTTCACCATCTCCGCACGCTCGCGGCGCATCCTCTCCTTCCAGTACTCTTTGCGTCTACAAGGTTAGTCAAAACAAATTAGAAATGAGTTATTTTTGGTGCCGGTGTTCCGCGAAAGTGATGAGTACCTGTTCTTCAGTAGGAGGTCCAGTTCAGCCATGTGCACCGCATCCTTGTACACGCCTACCTGCATTGGTCGTGTAAGTATCAGAAACAATAAGCTTAATTGCTAATGATGTTTTGATTTCCACAACAGAAATGTCATGCCCAGTTACTGTAAAAATCTACAGAAAACGATGGAGATCCACACTACTTCTTAGTCATAGCAAACTCAATTGGATGAATTGCCAAACTCAGAAGTTTCTACAAGAAACTCCATGACAACCTAAAGGCATCAGGTTCCTCATTCGCGACATAAATGGATGATTGGACAAATGTTGTATCCAAAATGCTCTAGACCTCATCACTAATATTTTTAAGATGAATAAACTTGTCCCCTAATGGATCCTAGCTTGTTGCAAAGAAAATTGAATAGAAGACAACGAGGAAAATATGACATCCATTCTACCTAATTCTAAATCGAAGTCATGAAAAGGTTTGAGTTCTCTGAGACTAGAATATAGGTGGATTTTAGAACCAACATTAAGCATCATCACGACTCTAATTGTCACGGTCAGAGCCTGATGGGCTAATTGGTCTATCAATTTTTTTTAGTCTAAACCACTGGTCAAAATACTTAAAAACTAAATTTAATAATAATACAATAATCAGATCCTTATAAGTCAATCTTAATCTTATCCACTTCCAATGTGGGACTAATCGGGGTGTTACAATAACCCTCACCCAAGGGCTTAATTTCCTCATCAAGACCCAACATAATCTAGATCAAATCCTAGTATAATGCATATGAGTCATAACCCAGTGGTAGCTCCACGCCGTGACAAGTTTTTTGACTTCATCCACGAGTAGCTATTTCCTATTTAGCCTCTTACCATATCCCAATACTAGGTCAGCTCTGATACCATTTGTCACGACTAGAGCCTGACGGGCGAATTGGCCTATCAAAGTCGGTGAACTCAAATCACTAGCCAAAATGCTTATGTTGAAATTGATAATTGTACACCCATTAAACCTTTATAAATCAATCTTAGTTTTATCCACTCCCGATATAAGACTAATCGGGGTGTTACACTAATGACAATAACAAGAATAAATGCATTCTACACTTAGTAGCCATGCACTAACCAAAGAAGATATTCTAATTACTTTAATACTGTGTTATATTTCCCTTTTAATCAGATGTTAACATAGCAATTTGTGTAAGCAACAACACTCATTTTTTGCACAACATTAGACAGCTTCAGGAAAATATTTTCTGCTAGAATGTCATGTAGCATCCATTTATTTCATATAATTTATTAATGTTCCTATCAAGTAGATCTATAAAAAATGAAAACAGACCTTTTACGTGATATGGTTAACAAACAAATGAATTTTCTTCCAATCTCAGTGATTATACAGATTTAGATTTCCACAACTTTATTAAATTTAAACGACCAAAAAGAATGTAAAGCAGTGCAAAACAAATATAGTCTGAATGAGCAAATTGAAACTATATTCAAATGAATTAATTCTTGAACTTCAGAGGTTCTCATGCACAATGAGAAAAGCATAATAACCACAAACATAATTATAATTAAGAACAAACGCAAACTGTAACAACCAACTGAAAAACGAAATGTAAAATAGTTCACATACTGATCTACAAACAGGGCATTTGACTCCTTGAGGTGCTTCCTTGAGGCCTTGGAAGAGTAGCACAGAAGCAGCTGAACAAGCACAGCTTTTACAGAAAAGATGGCCACAACCTAAAGCATACGGATTGAAGACTGTATCCTGAGAAAACCAGAGAATATATTAGGACAAGTTTAGCCATGAAGGACCGATAATTCAAATTTATGATAAATTGAAAATGAATCAATTAATCATAGTGCAACCTTTTAGTCATAAGATATGTTTTCAATAAATTTATCGAGGCCATACAAGGAGATCAAAGAATAAAATAAAAAGTAATTGGTGCATCCAAAGTCAGAAACAGGGCAAAAAAAAAAAGAAACCAATTAATGTATTGCAAGAGAACAAGGTAACCGTATTTGCAATGAACTACGAAAAACACATTCCACATGTTTAACAGAAATCCAGATCAAGAACTCTGGTTCAAATTGATACATAAAAGACAGTGCAACCTTTGTCATATAGATTTGCACTTCTCGTTTTGTTCAGAGTTAGCATTAACTTGCAAATTAAGATTTACACCTAACAAATTGTATAAAAGAACATCACAGACTCCAATCAATCTTTCTTCTCAAGAAGGAAGAAAAATATACAAGAAACACTGGAAAGATGACTAAGTCAGGATCTCCATGCTGTGTTGAAAAGTTGATGATGTCATACTCTCCATACGTAAAAGAAACTTATCAACATTTCCCGAATACGTGAAAGAAAAGTCTTACCAAGCAAATAGCACAGACCAGGCTGTATTCATACTTCATCGAATCTGAAAGAGTCATGGTCATTACAGGCTGCATATCACTTAGATCACAAGAAAATTTGTGAAAAAACTCGCCAGGTTCTCCAAAGTCAGAGCCACTGAAATTTAGATAAAAGGCACCCAGCTCTATCAGCCATGGTGACTGCAAAAGCTCGATATGTTCGGCTCGCATTTTAGTCTTAAATTTTCTACCGTCGGCAGAGCCATGAATCTGAAGGACACAATACATATGTTGTAAAATACAAGAAACTCACTTGTATTATAGTTGAAACACAGAAGCTACAAACCGAGCCAAGTGGTTTCTGAAAGCAACTTACTTTGTCATATTTCTTAAGTATTTTGTTTATGGCAATAGCATTCATTGTGACATAATCAAGTAACATTCTTCCTTCTTGTATCATAACTTGTTGATCATCCATAAAACAGTGCCGCAAACGCCACATGTACCTATACAATCCAGAAGAAACATGAAGAGTAAGGAGGCGCCTCACTCTCGAGCTAAAGCATCCTGCTATATCTGAAGCCTCTTTTGTGAGTTCAGTAAAGAACATCTGATCACACACTGCAGAAGAAGAAACAATTCAGAATTAGTATATGTCAGAATGATCATTTAATTGACTTCTGATAAAACAATCATATAATATTTGTGCCTGCACCTTATAGATGTAGGGAATTTTCATATCGACACCAATTCTAATATAAGCACTAAGTTTTAGCATCTGTCATTACAAAGAACACACAATAATTTTTCTTAATACCAAGAAGAATTTGACAACTAGCAGGGTTGCCTCATGAATAGAACTTCTACAGCAAAGAAATCATCCTTTAAATACATTACCGAGGTTCATCACCGGATCAACCATAAGTGTTACCAACAGCATGTGAGCAAAGAAACTCACATGTTGTTCATCACAACAGAGAAAAGAAACAAGACATTCAAGCTCATTTCGACGATTAGACTCCCAATCAAAATTATTAAGAGTAATTCTTTGCAGAAAAAGATTTGTCCTACTCACTCTGCAATCTAAGAAATATGAAATGTGCAACTCAGCATAAGTGTATTCCAATGCTTAAAACATTCATTTCACTTTTAGTATTTACGTGCAGAGTTTCCCTGAGTTTTACCGCAATTAGCAATTTATATAGCGACCAAGATCCAAGACAAGTAACGTGAGGTACCAAACAACAACTAAGTGGGGAAACGAAGCATACATGCACAAGAATTGCATCGGCAGAACTCCGACATCTCCTTACCCTCCTCGCGCCGGTCATTTCCGCCGTCATCACTCTCGCTCAAAGCCCGGCAAACCCGGCAGCTCTTCAAGAACTTCTTGAGACGCTTATACTCGACATGCGAGCACTTGTTCAGAAACGCCTCTTGTTCTCCGTGGAGGTATTCCGTGAATGTTTGCCCAAACTTCATCTCGGAATTGAAGTGGGATAAGCGGGTGCATGAAACCCAGCCGGAATATATAGCCCTGATCAACACAAGCGAGGTCATTGCACATTCCAAGAGACGATCAAGAAACGCCACGAGAAATCCATCGAGATTAATGGCAGAAAGAAAACGAAGGCGGAAAAGGTTGACAGAACAAGAATCACGAAACGTAAACAAAATCGGCGAAAATAACAATCGAGGGTCGAATCTTTCTTGCACCGCTGCTGCTACATCGGTTGATTCCTCGTCCAGCGAATCCCAGAATCAAAGCTTGGTAGCCTTAAACGAGGAGCACGATGCCGGAACTCACCCTCTCGATCCGGAGAGCAAAGAGAAGTCCGTACCCTGGTGGTCACAGGATCGTCTCCTGAGCGTATCTTTTTATTACCACCAGGAAGAAGAACGGAGGGGGCGAAAAGGAGAAGAACAAATCGAGCGAACAATCCGGTACGACCTGCGGGTCACAGATAAGATCGAGGACGCTGGCGATCTTCGGAGCTCGAGGAGGCATCAACGACCCCGAAACTTTCCCGGGGTTACGTGTTGATATCTTCCGTTCTACTCGAGCGGCGCCCTCTGCGTTCCATCTCGGAATCAGAAACACCTCCTACCCGCCGCATAATTGGACAAGTCATCCGGACCCACATAGTTAACCCACTGACAACCCGGTGGGTAAACGCCCCAGGCGGGGAAGACAAAACGTCCCCTCGTGCTGGACGGCGTAGAGACCCTGCGTCGAGGGATACATGCAAATGACCGTTCCGACGAGGCGTGTCACGGTTACCTTTCTTGTGGTTGGATTCTAAAAGTGGGACCCAGATTTACATCCAATAAAAACGAAGGTACGGCATGATAACTTGTATATAATATTGCCATTGGCGAGTAGGAAATCCCAAGTCACGAAGAACTATCAATCAAATTAAGCTAAGTGGAAGGAACATGATTCATTCTTATCTCACTTGATGGTCATGATGGCACTTCCACTATCTTTTGAAAAGAGTCACTTTGACGGCAATGATTTGAAGATAATACAGTGGTGGATCGACATATGTTCACTGCGCGGCAAAAGTTCTTATGCCTTTCTATTTTCTGAACATATTCTCGGCATTTGTAAGTAATCATGAGAAATATCACATTCATAAAATTCTAACTACTGTTCTAATCGAATTTCGATTCGATAATCATGTAGCATTTATTGTTACTGAGGTTTTAAATTTCTTTTATGAATTATCTGTCGTTGAGTGTTAAATGAAATTTCTTGTTATACATGTTTGATAATCATATAGTATTATCCGTATCGATCGATATATATTTTTTATTATTATCAGATAAATAAAATCAGAATGAGATTTTAAATTTTTTTATGAATTATCTAAAGTTATTATTATTTTTACTTATTATTTTTAATATAGTAAACATATTTCTTGGTGTAGGAGTCTCCATATCTTATGGATGGGACGGACTGATGTGAAGTTGACTGGGCTTTGCACTATCAAATGAGGGATAACCGCAACTATTATTTATATATATATATATATTTATAATTTCTGTCTCTATTATTTATTGCTTCCGAAAGCTGCGAAGTGAGCAACTTACGACACGACTTAAGCAGCAACCAGGGAACTCGTCCTGGGAAAAAGCACCGTCGCCAGACCACCACAAGCCGCAGGCGTATTATTCCTATTCCTCCCACCTGGCAAAGGGAACATGTTCCCGTACCGTCACCTCCCTTCGTCGCTCCCTCTCCGACTCCCCACCAACTATGCTCGCTGAATATAAAGATACTTAAAGCGACACCCAACTGCCTCCGCCTCCCGTCTCTTCCCCGAAATGCCTCCGCCGCTCCCCCCCAAACCCCTCCAGCCCAACCGCGCCTCCCTCTCTTTCCTTTTCCTCTTCCTTCTCTCCCTCGTCGTGTACGTCTCCCTTTCCCCGTCACGGAAAACCCCCTCCCCTTCCTCTTCTTCTTCTTCTTCTTCTCGCAATGCCCCCGCCGATTCGTTTAGCGCCCCCCACCGCCTCTTCCTCTCGCTCCACCCCGGCGCCAATGCCACCATCGCCGCCCACCTCCGCGCCCTCACCCTCCGCCCTCACCTCGCCGGCACCCCCGCCGCTGCCCGGACCGCCTCCTACGTCATCTCCCACCTCCGCGCGGCCGGCCTCCGGGTAGCCTTGGCCGACTATTACCCGCTCCTCTCATACCCCGCCTCCGCTTCCCTCGCCCTCCTCCGACCCGACGGAGCCCTCGTGAAGCCTCTTCCCCTCGCCGAGCCCGCCGACCTCGAGGCCGCCGCCGTCCCGCCGTACCACGCCTACTCCCCCTCTGGCTCCGCCGTGGCCCCCCCGGTCTACGTCAATTACGGCCGGGAGGACGACTACAGCGCGCTCGACCGGCTGGGCGTGGACGTCAGGGGCTGCGTCGCGGTCGTGCGGCGCGGCGGAGGGTACCGGGGGGCGGTGGTTGCGAGGGCCGCGGCTAGGGGCGTAGCGGCGGTGCTGATGTTTAAGGCGGCCGACCACGGTGGAGTGGAGAGGGGGACCGTGTTGCTCGGTGGGGTTGGTGATCCGTTGACACCCGGGTGGGCGGCCCCCCAACACGGCGGCCGCGGACGGAGGCGGCGAGAGGCTCGCCGCCGATGACGAGGAGGTGAGGCGGAGGTTCCCCAAGATTCCGTCTATGCCAGTGGCCGAGGTGGTGGCGATGGAGATATTGAGGACGCTCGGTGGGCCTCCGATGCCGCGCGGGTGGGGAGAAGGGTTGCCTTCGGCGGCGAAGAGCGGGGTTGGACCGGGTCCCACGTTGGTCAACTTCACCTATCAGGTAATCTCACCAGTTGGTGGCCTCGATCTGCTGCCGTTTGGACGGCTGCAGACGGTGTGTCCTTTTTCTATATGAATTGCAGCCGTCAGTTCCGTTTGGAGTATGTATGTTCCTTGGCTGAATTCTTGAACTGACCATGTCCTTTTTACTCCCATGAATCGCTTTTAGTCTTTGGCTGATGTATGTGGTCCAATGCCATGAGGAACTTAATGGCTAATGGTTCCTAAAAGGTATTGGTTGTAGTAATTCTGTAGTGCATCAGGTCCACGATCGAAAAAAACTCTGTAATGAGTACTAGGCTTGTCGCTGTCACAAATACATGAATCGGTATGATGTTGCCATCATCTCACTTCTTTGTTTCATTGCAGCTGATCGTTTGATCCCTTTTGTTGTGGTCCTGAAAACCTTTGATAAAGATGTCCAAATGAAGCACTGATAAGATCAGCATCTGAATTTTCTTCTTTTCAGTTGACGTGCTAGTTTTTGGATAGAACATGTGTATCATGACAAAAATTCTGTCGGTTGTTTGGCACGATAAATTTATGTGTACAGCACTAATAGCAGAAAACTTCAAATCATATGATGTATTGGAACTTTGGCTTACTTGAGCACTTAAATATCCTAACCATTATGACATGCTACAATCCAAAGGGATGCTTTCAAACGATCAAATGTCTTGTTTGATGTATCTTCACGTGTAAGTTTTATGATCATGTTTTTGCTGGTTGTAGGATCAGCCTAAGCAAGAAAGCGCTCATATGCATGACTCTGTTAATCGTTTTTGTCGTCTATAAAATATTATTGGCACTGCATTCTTATGGGTCTGTCATACTTTAAACAACTTGCCTGATGGGATTTCTCTACAACTTGACTTGCACGTGCCGTGTGCCTCAAAAATTTGCAACAACTCCACATTCTTCCATGATTTCTTGTTTGTAGTAATGTTCTCTTCAGAAGTTCATTTTCTCCGATCTGGATGGTTTTCCATCCTGGATATTTTATATAAGCGTACCTTACATTAGGTTAAGGTTTTCTTTGTTACGGGATTCCCATCCTGTTTTTTCCTATGCATTCAAGTATGAAAGTGATCCTTTGTTCTCATTTGTATTCAATTTGGACTAGCTTTTAATTTCTTTTCCATTTATGACCTTCTTTAAGGAAGATAGAAAGTTGGCAAAGATTCAAAATGTTTTCGGCATAATAAGGGGAAGCGAGGAGCCAGATCGTTACATTATCCTTGGCAACCATCGAGATGCATGGACATTTGGTGCTGTGGACCCCAACAGTGGAACAGCTGCGCTTCTTGATGTTGCCCGCCGTTATGGGAGTTTGTTGCGCTCGGGCTGGAGGCCTCGAAGGACAATAATCCTATGTAGCTGGGATGCAGAGGAGTTTGGCATGGTGAGTTAATCATTGGACTTTGGATCCGTTGGGCTTTCTTACTTGTCACTAAAATTTCTAATTATATTTGAATAGAGAAAGGGCATGTTTTATGCTTTGTTAATATTTCTCAGCTTAAATGATGGATCAATCTAAATGATACTATTAAAGCTTGTCGCTACCTTGTGATATTCTCTTATTGTGTGGTTGAATGCTTTATATTTGACAATTATTTAGCCATATCTTCCCACAATGAGATCTGAACGCTACTTATCCCATCTTATATGCAGTTACATGATAGATCATGCGTATGGAGCTCAAATATTTTTGTAGGTATATGCTCAAAAAGGTGCAGTGACTGCTACTACACATACGTGCATATTGTGTTTCTTAAGCATGCAACCCTATATACAACTGAAAGCATTCGTGCGTTATGTACTGAACATCTCTTCGTGCATGCATATTGTTGAGATGTTTGAGTTGGTTTGAGGCACTAGATCAAATTTGTTGTCTAAAAGGATTTAGTTGTAGTACTTCGCATTTATTTAAAAGTTTTTCATCTAAATCAGAGGACTTACTTTTCAGATTGGATCTACTGAATGGGTTGAGCAGAACCTTGGAAGGTTGTCATCAAAAGCCGTGGTATACTTGAATGTTGATTGTGCAGTTCAAGGTGATGGCTTTTTTGCTAGTGCAACCCCCCAGTTGGACAAGCTTATAGTTGAAGTTACAAAGCAGGTGACAATAGGCAATACTACTGCAAATTAGTTATGTTCTTCTCTCCTATGATACTTGAAGAAGTTTTCTTTTAATCAAGCAATTTTTTCCTGCTTACTTTTATACAAATAGAAAAAAAAAACCTGTTTAGTTTTAGATAAATCAGTTCATAGCAATCTTTTTCTACCAAGCTAGTAATTCATTTCTTCAATTGGTTAGTGTGACCAGTAAAATTCTTAGCAGAAAACCACTGCTTTGTTAATGAGAATCTTTTCTCCATTAGAAAGAGCAGGAACAGTTACTAACAGTGATTGCTGATTGCTGCTGGACAATTTATCTACCATTCATGTAAGATTTCTCTATGCCTACTGTTGATACACGATCTTGTCATCTTGATGTTTCAGATCCAGGACCCGGATTTTGAAGCGAGGACAGTTTATGAATCTTGGATAGTAAACAATGGGGGTATCAGTGTAAGGTGTTTATATGTAGTACCACTGTTATTTAATCTTCTATCAGTGATTCAGCTTTACGGGAATTTGAGCATGCCAGTTATGGTTTTTTACTGCAGAAGATTGAAAGACTGTCTAGAGCTGATTCAGATTTTTCTGCATT